CTCGCCATGCTGCCCAAGTTAGTCTTGAACTCCTGGGCTCAAGTGATCCACCCCCCGGGCCTCTCAGACTGCTGGGATTACAGGCATGAGCCACTGCACCTGGTCCCAGGTCCTGTTTCTTGATCAGGATGTAGTTTGGGTGGGTAGGTCCCTTTTGTGAAACAGAAGCAGGCTGGACCTCATCGAGCTGCACGTTTCTGCAGGAGTGATTTCAATTGCAAGGTGCCGACAGAATAGTCAAACTGATTGTTTTTGCTGTGTTAGGATCTTGGTTAAGAGGGCCAGCTTTAGATGCTCATTTCTGGCCTTCGAATCCAGATTACCATTCGCTAGCTGTGTGGCTTAAGACAAGCTGCTTAACCTCTCTGTGCCTCAATTTTATTAGCTGGGAAATGAGTCTGCAGGGCTGTGAGTACCCAAGCCCTTTGTACTTCATTTGGTAAAAAAGTTGGAACCTGTAAGCACTGTTTAGATCTTGCTTTATTTTGCTGCTAATTAACAAACGACTTTATGTTATTTATTTATTTTATTTTATTTTTATTTATTTATTTTTTTTTTTTGAGATGGAGTCTCACTGTCGCCTAGGCTGGAGTGCAGTGGCGTGATCTCAGCTCACTGCAACCTCTGCCTCCTGGGTTTGAGCGATTCTCCTGCCTCAGCCTCCCAAGTAGCTGGTAGCTGGGACTACAGGTGCCCGCCACCATGCCCAGCTAAGTGTTGTATTTTTAGGAGAGACAGGGTTTTACCATATAGGCCAGGCTGGTCTCGAACTCCTGACCTTGTGATCTGCCTGCCTCAGACTCCCAGAGTGCTGGGATTACAGGATTTATTAAATAAATGAATAAAGGCTGAGCCACCATGCATTTATTTATTTATTTATTTATTTATTTATTTATTTATTTATCTTTGAGATTGAGTCTCACTCTGTTGCCCAGGCTGGTGTTCAGTGGCACAGTCTTGGCTCACTGTAAACTCCATCTCCCAGGTTCAAGCCATTGTCCTGCCTCAGCCTCCTGAGTAGCTGGGACCACAGGTGCCCACTGCCCCAGCTAATTTTTTTTGTATTTTCAGTAGAGACGGAGTTTCCCCATGTTGGCCAGGCTGGTCTTGAACTCCTGACTTCAAGTGATCCACCTGCCTCTACCTCCCAAATTGCTAGGATTACGGGCATAAGGCACTGCGCATGGTCGATGTTTTTTTCTTTCCCAGTGAATGCATTTCTAGTTGGAGTATTCTACTTGCTTCCAGTGTTGAGTATGAAACCAGATAACACACATAGAGTGCCCAGCAGTGTTTAGCATACCGGTGCTCAACCAATGGTGGCTCTTAGTACTAGTTTCCTTTTCCTAAAATATCAAAAGGCACTGAGCGAGAATTTCTTGGAAACATGTTGTTTCCTCTAAACCCATCCCGTGGCAGTCAATATATGATGCACATTTCTGAGGTCAACTTTTTGCTTATTGGAATGCAATGTCACTATGTCCCAGGCTTGGCTTTTCCGTGTGTTGTAATTGTACCAACACTGGAAGCACATATTATACCACGAGAAAGAAATGTGTTCTGTAAAAGGAAAAAATCATAATGTCATTTGCTAATTAACAGCAAAAGACAATAAAACACTGCCTCCTTTAGACCCCACCCTGAGGTTTCAAACTGCCCACCAAATAAAGTTCTCAGGGCTGGTGCGGTGGTTCATGCCTGTAATCCCAGCACTTTGGGAGGCCGAGGCGGGCAGTTCACCTGAGCTCAGGAGTTCGAGACCAGCCCGGCCAACAGGGTGAAATCCCCATCTCTACTAAAAGTATAAAAATTAGTCGGGCGTGGTGGCACATGCCTGTAGTCCCAGCTACTCGGGAGGCTGAGGCAGCAGAATCGCTCGAACCTGAGAGGTGAAGGTTACGGTGAGCCAAGATCATACCACTGTACTCCAGCCTGGGCAACAGAGTGACTC